GGGGAGTGAGTCTCTGGGGCCTGATTGGTGAGGAAAGGGAATCCCAAGTCCTCCAATCATCTTTTACCCCTTTAAAACCCCTGAGCTAGGTCACTGCCAGCTAGCCCGTCACAGAAGATTTGCCACTTACCGTGTTGGTATCCTTACAAAAGATGTAATTCATTTAGATATTTATTGGGTCTTTTCATTCTTTTGGTATAAGAAGTTAAAAACGTGGGCAAGTATTGTTCTGTTCTCTCATTATAAAAGGAATATTGTACATAATGTACATCTAATGTACATCTAATAAATGAAGCTTTTCCTGATTTTTGTGGCAGTGGAAATTGGTGAAGAAGGCTAGTAAATATGTTTTCTGGCCAAGATTAAAATTCAGAATTTTAAGCCTGGATATTGGGTGGATGCTCAAAGAGACCTTGTTCCTGAGGAATATTGTGCATAGTAGGAATATCGTGAGTATATTTAGTTCTGCTACTCTTCTAGGAAATGTTGTTAACACTAAGATGCTATTTCATTTTTTAGGTGAAGAGAACAAGAAACCAACCTCTACAATAATGGTCCTATGAGTTGAGAAAGTACAATGTTCAGACCCTGTGGTAGAACTGGACCTTGAAACTCCATCCTGACATGGCCTGTTAAGATTTCTCCATCTAAGGATGTGAGATAACTGACTTGATTTGTACCAGAAGATGAATGACTGAAACTGTAGCTAAACAGACTTGGATTGAGTTAACAAAGAGCCCAGAGTTCTTCAGCAGTAAATACCAAAGATAAGCTGGATTCCTGTTTAAGTGAATGCAGCTGGATGCCTGCAGCCCCTATGGAAAACTGATTTCATTTTTCAAGATACATATTCCTAGCAGACTTTTTCCTGTTATTGATAGGGAAATTCTGGACTTCTTTACAGCAAGGTCTCTTTTCAGAGCAAAGAACTTAATCACTGATCAGCTGTTTTTGAAAGGTGAGGTCCAAACACAGGAGTTGGTTTTGATTCTGTGACAGCAGGCTGTCAAGAAGTGGGAGGGCTAAAGGGGATGGTAGTGGTATGCAGAGGTCCTATGGGTCAAGGCCAATACTGTCTCAGATGAACTGGTACTGTATCACTAATGAGTGTTCTTTCTTCATTTGCATTAGTACACTGGAGATTAGAGGAACCGAAGGGAAAGCTTATAGATACTTCACTGCCCATGGAAGTCAGAATGTATCTGTAATGGAATTTAGGCTTTGTCTTGTCCTGCGGCTATACATCTGGCATTTGCTGTTACAAAGGTGACAAAGGGATTCACCATGGATAAGAATCTACTTAAATCATGCTTTTGCGACTTTTGTGGAAACCATGAAAAATGGTGGTTTCTGTAATCACTCCAAAAATTGTGTTTGCCACAATTTCCTGCAGGATCACCTGAAAAAAAAAACAACTTACGAAAGATAAAATACTGGCTCCCCAGTGGGGAAAGCACCAGCTGGCAAAGTGGCATGAAGGGGATAAGCCAAGATGGCGGCCACCCATTTGTCCCTCCTCCTCTGCTAGAGCCCCTCTGCCAATAAGTGGGGAGGGTTGGGGCTGCATGAAGGGCCATCCTCTCTACTAATTACCAATCAGTGGTGAGGGGTGATGCCTCTGAGGCCAGATAGCCAATCAGCAGTGAGAGGCAGAGCTACCATGAAACACCCCCAAAAGTGGCTCTGCACACCACAAGTGGGATGTGAAAAACCTTTTGTTTCACCCCAATTTAGCTAGGTCCATAACCATGGATGATCCTCATTTGCAAAACATGTTGGTCACAATTTTATATTTTGAAGGCTGTTCAGAGTGTTGACAGAAGCTCCTACTGAGGATATCTGCCAAGGTGTTTGTCAAACCCAGGAAATGAAACAGCTTTAATGAGACGTGGCTTCAGAAAGGGTAGTCAGAGAGAGACCCTGTCCTGATATACAGGTTTCCTTCAATTTATGCTGTACATGCTTTCCTGGAGAACAGCACATAAATTAAATTTGCATAAAGCAAACCCACTTTACAATGTAACAAATAAGGATAGGTTCCCATGACAGTGAGGGAGGGACAAGGGAAGGGGTGGAGGGTGGGGTGCCGCTCCCAGGGCTGCACAAGGCAGCAAAGCAGAGGGAACAGAGCAGCACTCACTCCAGCCCTGGCTGCAGTGGCCCCAAGAATGGCCGGGACCAGTGGCCTGCAGCTGCTGGGCTGCACTGTGCTCCGCCTGTCCCCGTTTACCTCTGCTCCTGGGCTGTGCCATGCCCTGGTGCAGGCAGCTGGTGTTGGCTGCTCCCAGGGTTGCTGCAGCTGGGGCTGGGGTGAGTGGGGTCACAGGCCTTTCCCCTCCCCCCAACAGACTTACCTACTTGGGTGGGGGGGCATCTATGCTGATTGCATAAGAGTGAATTTACCTCGCATATAACAAATTATGGGTCTAAACATGCTCATCGCATAAGAATGAATTTGCACATAAAGAACATTTATAATGTAAATATACATTGAGGGAAACTTGTAATAGAATTGATGTGGTGTTTTTCTGTTTGTTCAAAGATTTCTTAGGATGATATCTTTCATTGGACCAACTGTGAAGTTGGGATTGAGTTAAACGAGCGTTTGAATGCAAGGCACTCTTTTTCACATCTGATTAGCAGGAGCCAGGCACAGCATAGTAAAGAGCAGTAGTGGGAAGGCGTGAGAGAAATTCCCAGGGGTTATAGACATAAAAGTAGCAGACAAGAAAGAGATCAAGGCCTATCAAAAGGGTCATTCTCACCTTTCATGTGTGGAAAGAATTCAGGAGTCAGGTAAAATATAAATGAGCATGTCTAAAAGGTAATTAATGCTCTATAGTTAATGCGCATTATGTTTAATACTTGTATAACCAATTACTAAATCAATGTGCAGTAACTGGCACTACTGGACAGTAGTGCCAACACAGTGTTTTAGCAACGCTAACTGTGCAGTAGCCTAATATTACTGCACAGGAGCATATTAGCATGATTTCTGCCCTGCACACTACCGTGCAGCAGAATTAAGCTACTGCACAGTCAGTATCTCATGTAGATGCACCCAACGTACCATAAAACCAATATCAATGTTTAGTCCTTGATTTTTAGTGTTAAGCCAGTTTATGATGTTTTATTCCCTAGTTCTCCTTTTACAATGTAACAAATTAAGCACAAGGATAGTGAAGTCAGAAAGGCAGTGCCTGTTCTGTTGAGAAATATGCTGCAAGAAAGGAGCACATTTTTCAAAACCACCACTCCCTCTCTGCCCTCACTATCCTTGTGCTTGTTCTGTGAGAAATATTCTGTGAGAAATGTGCACATTTCTGGAAAACATGTCTCATCCAGAAAGAAGGATAAGATGCAAATAGGTGTTCATCCAATATGTCTTCCTCTGGTATGTTTGAAATGGGTATCTGGTCCAGTGATGGTGGATACTGAGATTCCTTTCTAATGAGATCTGGGAGTAAAGGAAAAAGAGGTCTGAAGTGGCATTTCTAAATGAGAATAATTCTACTGTGAATTAGCATGTCATGGCAAGAACTGTGCTAATATGCTAATGTGCAGTAGAATTAGTCTCCTGAGCATTAAGCAGCACAAAAGACTGTGCACCATTGCTACTACACATTAGCACTGGCTACTGCACATTTGTGTAGTACCTTATATTAGAGGTACTAAACTTAATGCGCAATAGCAACAGTGTATTAATGCACATGTAGATGTGCCTAAGCATAACAAAAGAGATTTAATTTCTAATGGGCTACCCCTATGAGACCTAACTTGGATAGGGTGCAATGTACAGAGGACCAATTGGTCAAACTTACTGGGAATATTCCCTCGAGATATATCTGTCTCTTAAAGAACAGGGCATCTAACAGAATGTCTCAGCCGGGTGGACACCCCTACTTCATATTAAACTATATCATCTTTTTTATTAAGTTTTTACTTCTCTATGAAATAACAGGGTCTTGATTCCCAAAGGTTAGCAGTTGCTAGTTCCTCAAGGCACAAGAGTTTTAAAAAAGGGATACACTTAAGTCTTATGGTCCTTTCACAGAGGTTTTACACTAGTCTCCTGAAATCAGTGGTGTTGCTCATGATTTTAACAGGATAATATCATACCCTTTACTTTAGACTAGCTATAGAAAATTGTATTTGTATGTATTTTTAGAATAAAATAACTCATTCTTGTGCTTGGAGCACCTTGTTATATTTTGTTGCCCATAGTTTTTGATTTCAACTAGTATTAAGCAATGAAAATACATTTGTATAAAATAAGCACAGCAAAGAAACAATATATATATTTTTAACAGTTGTTCCAATAACTGAAGTCCCAAGCAAATGCTTGAAAAGCAGATTTAAAGAAATGTACCTGTCATGGGGTCTATGGAGAAAACATTTTCATTATCGCTGAAGAGCCTGTATTTTATGCTTTCTCCTGTTGAATTATCATCATAAGCTTCTACAGTCAAAAGTGAGGTACCTACAAAAACAGTAAGAGTTTTTCATTAACTTAACTGTGGAAGCTCTTATGTGAATGTGTTATTCTTTTTTTTACTTTATTTAATAACAGTGAATACAAAGACATTTGATGATATTAATGGTGCCACTGCCATGACTTACAATAGTATAAGCAAAACTAGCAAAAAAACTCTAGTGAAACTCCATCTAATTGGTAAAACTTTTCCTAACAAACTTCCATTGCTCCACAAAATAATCATTCTCTTTAGGCCCCAACCACTTCACTTCATGGGGCAATGTAAAATGACGGACCTTGCAACACACAGTAAACATCAAGAATTTCTTTACTGGCTGAACTAAGGACAAAATTGTTTACCATTAGAGTAATCTTTTCCCCATTGAGGCATTTAAAATTTCCCCAGGTTATGTCTGGACTGGGTTGAGAGCTAGGCCTTCTTACTGAAGAGGAAGCATTTATGGAACTAGTTATTTTGAGACTGCCTTCAGGAATTTATCCTTTGCTTTATTCAAGACGTGGTACACATCTCTGCAGATTAATCTGTCTTTGGTTGTTTTAAACTTCATTTTTTCATGACCTACTCTTGGAGAAGTGACCCTTTTTGTGAGCTTTAAGAAGACTAAGTCTGAGTCACTGGAAGGGTTGTTTAAATTTGTGTTTACTTAAAAATAACAACTTGGGTTGCTTTGTGTAAAATAAATTCTAAAAAGAAAATCAATCTTAAAATGAATCTTAAATTGAATGAAAATGTCATTGATCTGACACAGCATAGAAGAGACATGAAATAAAAAACTTTGCAATAGCAGAAAAAAGGTAAACTGAATACATTATTTAACAGAAACTGTGACAATGTTTAAAAACCATATACTAAGGTTTCCAAATGGTTTTTCTTTTCAAATCAGTTATGAAGCCATTTAACATATATGGCAATTGATTTTAACCAATTATAATGAAACCAGGTTACTGTACAGCTTGGCCCCTTCCAGACTGCATTATATGTTGGTACTTATGTTATTACAGGAGGCATGTAGTTACTATAAAATGTCCTATACTTGGAATGGAAATGGAGCATCACTGGAGTTTGCTTTACCTGTCGTGCAAAAAACCCCCCACATGCTTAATACTTTTTAAAACAAGATGTATTGTGGCTCATCATTTGCTTTTAAGCATGGCAGCCTAAAACAAACAAAAACCTTGAGTAAGAAAACATAATCTGTGACTAATGGGTTTCTTTGTACTACTTAGGATACCTGTAGAACCAGTTACAAAAAACAAATTAAAACCCCAACAGCCTCCCCCACTTCCCATCCCCCCAAAATATGATCTGCATCTATATAAGTATACAGGCAGAAATAAGAAATGTGCTGCTGCAGGTTATTACATGTAGGGCCCTTCTTGGATCACAGGCAACTGACTGCATTTTCACTGATATGCAGCTTACTTGAATAAAACAGCCAGCAATCTCCACTGTTAGTGTCACTGTGGGGCGATCATACAATTCTGATACATCACACCCATTAGGGAGAACGAGAAGAACTAGGAGGACAATAACAAAGGTTGGAGAGCCTCTGCAGGGGACCTAGCTTGCAGCCCAGTTACGACTGCATGTCTGTCATTCCCTCAAACTACAGCATCCTTAGTGAAGCACTGAAAAGAAAAAAATTCAGTGTCTGAAATATGAGTCGCTATTTCTTGTTCATACAATATCCTCTGACTGATTTTTAAAAGAAAAAGAGAAAAAAAATCTGCCAGAAATAAAGGCATTTGATATCCTGTTTTTCAGAGTATTATAAGTGGTTCAATAAAACCTTGGTCTGATCTACACATTCTCAGCTGTGATGTCTTTTTCTCACATCAGTAAAATTGTTTATACCTTTTTTGGTAGATAGCAAAGTATTTCTTTGATTTCTGATACTTTTTGGCCATGCTGTGGTAAAATGGCTTGCATTTAAACAATTAAATGAGACAATTTCTGTAGAGATTGTTTTCATTTTGGATTGGTGCCTTTTAGTCTTTTTAACAGATGTGATGAAACACTGGAGTCTCTAACAAGGCTCAGCTAGGTGCTGTGTGGATTATATAGCAAAAAACAGCTCCTGTCCCAAAGAGCTTACAATCTTTAGCATCTCTGTCCAATATGCTGTTCTCAGATACAGTTGAACACAACATCGTGCACTATTTGAAACTTCTGACCCAGCCAAGCACATATGAAGAAGTCAAGATTGAAGTAAGAG